AAACTATAGCTTTCAGACAGTGATAGAGTTTCACTATGGAAGATACTGGTGTCTCTTCCTTTCTTACTTTGAGTGCAGAGATTTGCCAGAGATTTCGTCAGATTTCTCTGTCAGCAGTTTTTGGCTTTGTTCAATACAGTTCTCTGTCAGTCAGGTACTTTCGGATGTTGTTTTCGCAGGGAATCCTGGGTCGTCCTGGTGACCTGGTTGCTCGGTATTTGACTTCCGATGCCTGCAGTGCTGGCCGATTCTTTCCCATTCAACACACTTATCCAAACCTTCGTAACTGTACTAATCCACTCCTGTTTGTAAGGTCTGTGTTTCAGGGTCAAGAAGTGCTGACTGGTTACGAAATGTGTCCCTTCTTGTCATTGAAACCACCTTTTTTTTCAGATGCCTCATTTCTGAGGACTGAAGCTGGCTTCTATGAGATGTTGTCATTCCCCGTGACTCACATCCTTAGGTCAGGACTGGCACAGAGGTGGAGCGATATACAGTCATTTCTGTTCTCTTGTTAATTTCTCTTGTGCTGAGAACATCTTGGTTGATAGCCTGGAAAGGTCTCCTAGTTTGCTGCTTTTCGAGCAGTCATCTCTGCCTAAATGCCTCCATTCTGGTCTATTACAGCTCCTAGTTTTTTAACTGCATATTGCCACATCAGGATCTAACGTTTCTTCTCATTTATTAAGATCGCCCTGGGTTTTAGTTTTGGAGATACCGATGGTCATCCCTCTCTTCTCGAGTTCTTCCTTCCAGAAAAGTATTGTAGCCTCACCACTTAATATCCAAATTATGGCAGTTGTTACATTGTAGGCAACCTGCATTGTGAAGACTTTTTAAAGAATGTAATCACACGTTGCAGCCCCGAGTCACGCATATATCCTGTTATTTACCTTGGTATGCTATTCACCCATGCCGGACTACAGGTGACTCCATAACCGTTTTGGTGGTACCCCAATGTAACTGTGCTGTGTGGCTAAAAGGTTGAACTTGGTTTCCAGGATTTGTGCCTGTTTGACTCTCAGCCTTGCGATGATTATCCTATAGACTGCAATACTGAAGAGGTGGGAACCTTCACATAAAATATACTGTCAGGATTCAATCAATAATTTTAGCACCAAGTCATGTCTTAAAGCATAATCAAGGGATCATTAATCTTTGTTTCACACTAAATGCCTCCTAGCTAGGATGTAACATTAGAATGCAAGCCAGCCATGTGTTATTTGGCTCGCTTGTTCAGGTAATCACTTCTCGTAAGTAGGTCTATGTTAAACACTCTAATACCGGCATACATTAATCATGTGCATGAACACGTAAAATGTCTCTCGTTGTTGCCTCTTTATGGTGGCTTTTCCTCTTACTGTGTACTCTTCATTGGAAGGCAATAATTGAATATTGCCATGATGCAGTTATCCTTGTTGGCGTCAGTGGCGAGGCTTGATCAGTTCGTACGCGTTTGCAGGTAAAGATTACACTGGAGAAGGCACCACGTGATATTTTCCTCCTCGTCACTTCGCTGTTAAGAATATGCAAGTGCAGCCAGCATCTAGTAACCGGTAGCATTTACAGTTGCATTTTCTGCGTGCGCGAGGTAAGCATGCAGCGAGCTTACTTTTTTTTTTATTCCACACGTAAGCATGCAGTCAGGTTCTTTTCGCTATCTTCGCGACGTAAGAACCCAACGAGCGTTCTTTTCGCTATCTTCGCGACGTAAGAACCCAACGAGCGTTCTTTTCGATATCTTCGTGACGTAAGCACCCATCGAACTTTCTTTTCGCCATGTACGAAACGTAAACTGAGTGGCGTATTTGTAATAAATATTAAACAGCGATAAAAACTAGTAAAATATTTTTTCTTTGGCAATGGAAAGTGTACGCCTCGCCACCGGTTGGGTGGTATCTTTGTAGAAATTATACGTAAAAATTAAAGAACCATTTTTCCACGCCTTTAGGCGCATTAGACCAATATTTTTAGAACAAAAAGCACTTGGTAGGTGATGTGGTCAACATCGCGCCGGCCGCCTTTACTTCTCAAGACTGTACGTGGTACCCACTCAGGGATGGGTCGACCTGGCAGCCAAAGTCATTTTTGAACAAAAGTCCTGCCCATGTCAGGACCTAAACCCACAACCATTTGATCCGGAGACGAGCGTCTAGCCGCTAGACCACGGAGGATCTCAGAAATTATATGCTTCACATGAAATATGTATAATTCTGTTAAATGCCTCGTAAAAGTTTGATGCTGTAACAGATTCAGTACGTTGCCTTTGTTAGCCTCAACTACCAGGATATACTTTAGTGTCATTGTAATCTATCCAGCGGGTACACTTACCCGCCCACTGGGTCTAAAATCTTACTTTTATCTGACAAATGGGGAAGCCTCGTTAGTACGTATTCCAAGGGACCAAAATGTGAGTCGCGTTTAAAAAAAAAAAAATGCTTTGTGCTAATAGGACTAATGAAAATAATACACCTCTATGTTATAATAATACATTTCTGTGTTCTAATAATACATCTCTATGTTATAATAATACATCTCTGTGTTATAATAATACATCTCTGTGTTATAATAATACATCTCTATGTTATAATAATACATCCCTATGTTATAATAATACATCTCTGTGTTATAATAATACATCTCTATGTTTTAATAATACATCTCTATGTTATAATAATACATCTCTATGTTTTAATAATACATCTCTATATTATAATAATACATCTCTATGTTATAATAATACATCTCTGTGTTATAATAATACATCTCTGTGTTATAATAATACATCTCTATGTTATAATAATACATCTCTATGTTATAATAATACATCTCTGTGTTATAATAATACATCTCTATGTTTTAATAATACATCTCTATGTTATAATAATACATCTCTATGTTTTAATAATACATCTCTATGTTATAATAATACATCTCTATGATATAATAATACATCTCTATGTTAAAATAATACATCTCTATGTTATAATAATACATCTCTGTGTTATAATAATACATCTCTATGTTATAATAATACATCTCTATGTTATAATAATACATCTCTATGTTATAATAATACATCTCTATGTTATAATAATACATCTCTATGTTATAATAATACATCTCTATGTTTTAATAATACATCTCTGTGTTATAATAATACATCTCTGTGTCATAATAATACATCTCTATGTTATAATAATACATCTCTATGTTATAATAATACATCTCTATGTTATAATAATACATCTCTATGTTATAATAATACATCTCTATGTTATAATAATACATCTCTATGTTATAATAATACATCTCTATGTTATAATAATACATCTCTATGTTATAATAATACATCTCTATGATATAATAATAATACATCTCTATGTTATAATAATACATCTCTATGTTATAATAATACATCTCTATGTTATAATAATACATCTCTATGATATAATAATACATCTCTATGATATAATAATAATACATCTCCATGATATAATAATAATACATCTCTATGATATAATAATAATACATCTCTATGATATAATAATAATACATCTCTATGATATAATAATACATCTCTATGATATAATAATAATACATCTCTATGTTATAATAATACATCTCTATGTTATAATAATACATCTCTATGATATAATAATAATACATCTCTATGATATAATAATACATCTCTATGATATAATAATACATCTCTATGTTATAATAATACATCTCTATGTTATAATAATACATCTCTATGTTATAATAATACATCTCTATGTTATAATAATACATCTCTATGATATAATAATACATCTCTATGATATAATAATAATAATCTCCATGATATATTAATACATCCTCATGTTATAATAATACATCTCTATGTTATAATAGTACATCTTTATGTTTTAAAAATACATCCCTTTGTTATAATAGTACATCTCCATGATATAATAATACATCCTCATGTTATAATAATACAGCTCTATGTTATCATGGTACATATATGTTATAATAATATATCTCTGTGTTATGATAATACATCCCTTTGTTATAATAGTACGTCTCTTCGTTATAATAATACATCCCTTTGTTATAAAAATGCATCTTTATGTTTTAATAATATATCTATGTTATAATAATAATTCTCCGTGTTATAATAGTACATCCCTATGTTATAATAAAACATCCCTATGTTATAATAATAATAGTAATAATAATACATGCTTGTGTTATAATAATATTATTAAAATTATAATACATACGGATTTTTTTTTTTTTATAAAAAATAAAAAGTAGAACCAGTCAACTTTACAGTCTCACAAACATAAGTGACGCGAACGTTGCGGTCAGAGAGCTTTCATCATGACATTACATAAATCTACAATAACACACAGGCATCTTATTCAAAGCATATTTATTCCAACTCTGTGCTACCAGTGCCAGACATGGTCACTCACAACAAACCATAAAAGAAAATTAGTAACCATGGAGATGAGATGTCTGAGAAGGGCTGTAGGAGTGACCATAGGAGATAAGATCAGGAATGAGATCATAAGAGAAAAAGTCGGCACAGAACCAATTCTAAATTACATACGAAGACAGCGGGTGAAATGGTTTGCCCACTTAGAGAGAATGCCTTGTGACACCATACCATATAAAGCATACATGGAAAGAGAAGAAGGAAATAGAGCAGGAGGTAGACCAAGAACATATGGAAGGATAGCATCAGAGAAGCTCTACAACAGCACGATGTGCCTATGGTCAAGGCGGCCAGAAGAGCTAGAGACAGAACCTTATATCTCCCTCGACACCCACAGCGGTAAAAGAGGAAGTGAAGAAGAAGAAGAAGACCACACAGACTCACTTAACTGTGGTATCTCCAATAAAAATTACATTTCTGTCCATTTTATGATTTCTATCTTGTTTTTATTTAAATTGTATTATCTGTTTACCATCTGTGTTTATACAATCCTCGATGCTTTTCTTCTGCACAGGTTGGCCACACAATAAACTATTAGAAAAGACCCTATACCTACAAGTCATTGACTACGACAGATTCAGCCGCGATGACCCTATTGGAGAGACCTATATTCCCTTGAACGAGGTGGACCTGTCACAGTCGCCAGTCACCTGGAAGTACTTACAGCCATGCAAAGATTCCAGAGTAAGTTCGTCTGCCTGTCTGTCCACTACGTCAAGTTTTATCTGTAAAATCGGCTTCTTCTTCGCGTTCATCCTCATCACCATTGTCCTGTTTTGCCATTATATATCACATAGCGCTTGCAGGCCCTGTTCACGTTTTCACTCCCATTTACACATTATATGACCTTTCATTCATACTTTCTCAGACTCTTCTACGTCGGAGGGGTTTCCCATTGTTTTCCCTCCAAATACATCAGCGCCGATGTCGCGTGTTCTACACGACGTCACAGCTTTCAACGACCCCAGAACATGTAGAACTGGCCCTAACCCTAACCCCTCTACCCACAGCCTCTGCCTAGATCACACGAGATACTCTTTTCGGAGAAATCATTACAACGTGACATCCCTCTGGCCTAGATCAGACTGAGAAAGTGTGTCGCTGGCCGCTCAGTCCATTTCTCCATTTTTATTCTGTCCGGTGCATTCAGTTCAAAGTCATGGATGGAATTCAGTCTAGCTCCTTTAACCCCTCCTATTAACGGTTGTTTTAACGTTTCTTTTAGGCGTTTCCGCCTCCTTAACCCCTTGTTTTCCCATTTTAGTACCACTTTGGGAATTCACGCTCGCTTCCTAAATTTCGCTTCGCATTCATACCGTGTCCATACCGTGTGGCGTTGGTAGTCATGTCTATCCAAAATCTTTTGTCTCGTGTACTTTCAATCTGATCTGACACAGATGATCCTCCATGCCATGGTGTAAAACTGTCCAGCATATGCTTTCTGGGTCTCCCTCTGCCTCTCCTCCCTGCCAACTTTCCTACCGTCCCCATGTACTCTAGTGTTCTCCTTCTCATTACATGATCAATGAATGTAGATTGTCTTTTTCTGATGCGGGCAATCAGTTCTCTTCGTGAGTCACTTTCTTTCAAGACGTCTTTGTTACTCTTTTTATCTGTCTAGCTTATTCCCATCACTCGTCTATAAAACTACATCTCCGCAGCTTCCAAATAAGTTTCCAATAATTTACTAATTGTCTATCATTCACCGGATGTAAACTCCGGCAGAAAGTTTTGGTTGTTGATCCACTTCTGGTCTTTGGTGTTTATCCGGAACTTGAGTTTTGCTTTGACATAGTTTTTTGTTGTTTTTTTCCAACATATCAGGCTTTGTATTCAGACGGTTGTTTGCTCGTTTCTCAGACAAATGCACTCCGACTATGAAGCAACACCTTTGATTAGTCGTCTCTGTGACGTGTTTGTTATAGTGATGTTGTTCTTTTCTTTGTTATAGTTCATCAGCGTGTGGCGCACGACTAAAAAATGTGTAACCCCAACCTTTTTTTTTTTTTAATTTCAAGATGTTCATATTCAGAGACGAATATTTTAACCTAATACTATCATGGGGACTGCTGAGACAAATGGACTGCCCTTTTTCCCTTGGAAGACCAAGTCTAGAATATTCTTAGCCAAATCGAGTTTCCATTCTTATCACAGATGCCCCTTGCCCCAGTCAATGAATACAGTTTGGGCGGAAGACACGGGAAGAATTGTGCGTGATCACAGCTGCCAGATTGTCTTTTCCAGCTCATGTGCAATTTGTTGGCTGTGTTTAATGCATTATTTCTGCTGATCCTCTTTGTTTGTGTGTGCGTGCGTGTGTTTGTTGTTGTTGTTTTCAATCCATTACTACAATGATGTGAAGAGCTTGGTATTTTATTTCTTAGGTCTTTCACAGTGTGCTTTTTCCACAGACTGGTCGTCCTAATTACCGGTATTGATTTTTATTGTCAAAAATTTATTTACTTGCTTAGTCGCAGTCAGTGGCCACACCTTTAGTGACATCTCCGTTTTTTAATTTGTTTCTGTGGTAATTTATCTATTAATTTCCTATCTTCGATTTGTTCTTTGTTTATGAATTTTTTTAACTTATAATTAGTATCACTATTATTATTATTATTATTATTATTATTATTATTATTATTATTATTATTATTATTATTATTGTTATTATTATTATTATTATGTTTATTATTATGTTTATTATTATTATTATGTTTATTATTATTATCATTATTACAAACTTTTGAGAACAGTCTTACATCGAATCTTTAGGCCCATTAAAGATACAAACAGCGGAGAATGGAGAATGAGAAGCAACAAATAAATCAATAATCTCTTTAAATCGCTACTAATTACAAGAATCGTGAAGGCATATTGCTGTAATGGTTGGGGCACATAGAGAGAACGGCAGATAGCAGAGACAAAAGCTGTAAACAAAAGTGTTTAATGGGCGTAGACCACGGGGGGAGATCAAGAAAACGATGGAATAAAAATTTAAATGTTGTTCTAGAACTTGAGTTGTATGTGCACGTCTGTTTTACAGATTCAGCTTTTTTGTATGCCGACTGCTAGTTCATCTCATACAGCTGCACTTTGACCTTAAAGGAAACACAACTAATTAGTCATCTATTACGGCAAACCTGTTCTGAGGGCGCGTCTCTACTATCTCCCCACCCCCACCCCACAAAAGGACCTCGGATCCCACCCAGGGACCAGCAATATAGAGACGGTCTGTGTACCTTCCTTCGTTAACTGTAACGAACAGTCCCGGATTTCCGAGGTCAAGTGAGATTTCTGAGGTCAAGTGATTAAGCCGAATGCCTTGCACTCTAAAGATCCTGTGATCAGTTTCATACCTGGTACTTTTATTTATTAATCCGTATATTTTGTGCCTTGTCGCTGGAGCTATCGAATTTTGTGCTGTGTTTGATGTTCTCAGTGGACACACGGGAGAGAGAGAGAGAGAGAGAGAGAGAGAGAGAGAGAGAGAGAGAGAGAGAGAGAGAGAGAGAGAGAGGGGGAAAACATGAGGTTAAACCCACTGCAATTCTTCTTCTTCTTCTTTCGTTCGCTTGAAATAAGTTGTCTAGATTAGCAGTTTTGTCTCTTGTATAAATTTCACTGTCGTTGTTAGTTCATTCTGTGGTCCATAGAGTTTACGTTCTACTGTTGTTCTTTCTGGCCAAAAGTTTGCCTTAATGTGTCAAATTCGGTGCAGTCCTGGGGTACATGCTCTGCTGTCTGGGGCATCTTTCCACAGGTGCACATGGCTGATACACCTATCTTGAATTTTTGTATCCACTGCAATGATCTCTTTTGAGAATACAGTGTTACCTCGTTGAACGTTCGCTCTGGTATAGGATCCACTTGGTAGTTAAACGAATTTTGAAATACGAACCTCTATGAGGCAAAAATAGTCACCACACCGCGGGCAAGCTTTGCTTACCTCTCTCGAGACAAATCTACGAATAGGTATCACCCCAACAAAGCCCAAACAACCGAAATGTCATTCATTGTCTTGAATGACCAGACAATTGCACGTTTCCGAAACACCCTGAGGAGAAGACTAAATCAAAACTGTGTGGCTAGAATGTTAGTAAACGTCAAACCTGTGAACTTTAGCCAGGTCCAAGTAGCGAAGAGAGACAACAACAAAAGAAAGAGGGGAAAAACCCGCTAAAATTTAAGATTTAATTTTATTTTAATGGGGACACACCTTACAAATAATAACGTCTTCTCAGAAGAATCTTAGATGGCACTTTACCTTACTGGGGGGAAAAAGGTCGAGCAAGGTAAAGTGAGATTAAATTCTTATATTTCATCTGCGGTAATTGCTTTTGTATTTATGTATTCTAGTTTAAGACAGTCTATAAAATTTTTACACAACCGCATAAATGTAAAAATATGCCTGTAACGATAGGAATTTTGTTTTCGTGCAAACGGATTATTTACTCCCTTCATTTCTCATGGGAGGAACTTGGAAAAAGACAACAAAAATGTCAAACTTTGTCCTCTTTTAGCCGCCCGAAGGCCTGCTTTATCGAGGACGGTTTCTTTGCTATCTGAATTTAGTTTGTTTCTTTGTGGCGATCATTTTCACCTAAGTTTGATTTCTTGCTGCTATAACATGTCTACGCTGTCAGGCTTGGCGGGCTGTTTCCGGTTTCGGAAGTGGGTCCTGAAAAGGACAGCCATTTTTGTCTGGGGCGGCCTGGATCGGGAGTGGACGGGGTCTGCTTGTGGCTGGCTTCTGCTGTCAGGTCTAGTGCTTGCTCCGTTTTAGCGGGCTGGCTTTTCCCAAAAGATGGTGGCGTAGTTTTTTTTTTTTTTTGGGGGGGGGGGGGGAGAGGGGGGCTTCTGCTTCGGTAATAGCGTCTTTTCCGCTTGTTGTGATTGGGCTGTTGTGGTCTGTTCCACTGCTCGTACTCCTCTTGTTCGTAATGGGCAATCTGGTCGGCAAGAAACTGCTCCTTGTCGAAATAGTATGGAGCGGGTTCCTTGGTCAGGTCACTGTTAGCAGTCGGAATCTCCTGCTCTACTGGCGTATCTTCGACATCGGAGGCGATTTCGTCAGCTGACTGTTCTGCGTCTCCGTTGACTGAGTTTTGTTCTGAGTTATTGGCTTCTTGGTCGATTTTAGTCGTATTCTGGTTTTTGCTGTTCTATTGCTGCAGTCACAATTTTATCAATTCTGTCTGCATCAATTGCAAGTTTCTGCTGGATTTCGCTGAGTTCTTTACTTATGCTTCGAGTCTCAGTCAGTTTATCTTGGATATTGTCGAGTTTTTCAATTTGGGGCTTTTTCTACTCACCCACAGCTATCACCTTCTGAAGTTTTAGGACATCAGTGAGAGTTTCGGCTTTCTGTTGTGTCAATATGGCGACTTCGTGGTAATCGTCCTCACGGGCTTGTTTCAGTTCTGCCATCTCCTTTCTTCGCTCCCCCCTTTCTTCTTGTCGGCGCCTTTCTTCTGTTACCTGGGACGCTTCAAACCTTGCGATAAGAGAGCTTACGCTTGCGTAGTATTTGCGGCTTCTTTTAGATTTTCGGTATGTTGCGCAGCTTGCGCTATCCTGTCCTCTTTCAGGGCTTTTATTTCTCCCAGCATCAGGGAGATGAGATCGTGCGTCTCTGCTCCTTCAGCGGCGACCGCAGTTTTCTATTTCTATAGTTCGGCTTTCAA